TTGAACCACTTACACCCATTTTTACCTGATTCTTCCACGGCGATCAACCCCACATCCACCGATGAACCTGTTCCCGTGACACCTGCCAACTCAACCACACAATGCTCAAGTGAGAGCTGTCAGCTTCAAAGGCTTCCATCTTCACTCCTGCAACCCGGAACGCAGTTCCAAATTGCGGCCTTCAACGTACGCCCATTACTGCAGATCGGTCCGCAAGCTGGACTTGAACGCACGCCAGAGACCCTTGGGATTGATATCTGCCGCCTGAATGAAACACGACTTCAGGACTTCAACTCGGGATACCACCTGACGTCACCGCTCCACCCAAGCACTCTCTACCATCTCCACCTTTCTGGTGACGCCGAGCCTGCCACATCTAGGCGGGCTGGTGTTGGAATCGCCCTAAGTGCTAGAGCCGAGACTGCTCTGATTGATTGGCTTCCGATCTATAGTCGCCTTTGTGCGATGAGGCCCTTGTAAAGTTAGTAGACGTCAAGTCGAAAAGCGTGCTCACTTCGTGATCTCTGCTTACGCGCCAACTGACTGTAGCTTGGACACATTCAAGGACCAGTTCTACCAGAACCTTCGTGAGCTGCTCCTTAGGGCTCCTAAAACACGTCGGTGTTTTGGCAAGAGATTTCAAAGCGCGTGTAGGTCGGCTGTTGCCATGTGAACGCCACCTCGGGCTACCGCATGGGTATGATGATGTTCGCTCAGACAACGGAGAGAGACTGCTCAGTCTGTGTGCTGATCATCATCACCCAATTTCCGTCTACTTTGACTGCGGTCCCAGTGATCGCATTGACCAAGGTTCATTTCAATGTGAATCGCGGTCCACATTGATATTGCGCGTCGCAACCCAACCACACAACCTGTAGTCCAAAACTGACCCACCATTTAGTCATTTACCGTTGTATCAAGCGTTGCCCGCAGTGACCTGGTAGCCAAAAGGGTAGAGGTTTCGATTACTATTCCAATGGTCGCACGTTCGAGGTCTGCTATATTCACCTGATGAAATGACATCGAGACGCGTCGTGGTTATGTAGTGCTTTCGGGTGGGCAGCATCCAATTTTCGTCTGCTTCCCAATTGTTTTTGGAACGCCTGCCTCATTGTGACTCGTTCACTGAAGTCGCACGGCGACTTATTTGAAAGCGAACCAACGCTTTTTCAAGTTTGAATCGGTTTAGGACAAAGTATCGCATTCTGGGGCAACTGCACATTGCACAACAATCACAGTTGGTTTGATTTGTTGGAGGTACTTGACGACCTTCGTTTTTCCATTGTCAAATCCTTTGAAATGTCCTGGAAAAGTTGCTTTCAGTGTGATTTGAGTCACTCAGTGGATATTATTGGTACATATCAATGAAGAGGATTAGAAGGTCTAAGCTGAACTCAAACCTTCCAACATTTAACGTTGTGGCAGAGGAAGCAACAGCAGCAGCAGTCTGAGTGATGCAACCGTTTTATTATTACTACTGTTGCGTGCGGAAGACTGCTTGGTTTACCACCGCTGTCAATACGATCTACAATTTCATTGCTACCCGACAAAGTGTCGCTTCCTTTTAATTGACTTCAAAGTAGAAACTAACTTGAGAAAATCCAGGACTTGTTATGACACTGTGCGCACTGTCCAGTGGCATTTCTGTGCTAATTTGAAACTGTTGGATGCATCTATGTTGGCCTGGATACTGCCACCGTACGACTGTAAAGTTCATCCGAGTAGCATTTTATGCGTTACTACTGATAGTAGTATAACCTTATACAGAATTACTAATGAGCATTATTGGTATAATTTCTGGGGCAATTCGTCGCTGTCCCTTCTCAGTCAGCATGTTTTGACATATTTGGAAAAGCACCAGACAGCGTTGTTTCGACATTCTGGGTCTCGCCAGTGGTGCATATTTCTTGGACCCCAGTCGGGTTCCTACCCCACGACTTTCGGATGTCAGCACCTTGTGCCACAAAGCTATGGGTGACGGCCGCGTACCAGCATGACTGACAGGTGACTCATTCTCCACTGCCAAAACAGTTAGGAACGGTGCAGAGGACATTGATTGGCCCCAGGAGCTGGAACTTTTTGCACATCGACTGTGTACGACAGAGCACTTGGAAGCTATACGCACGGATTTTACTAGTGAGTAGTGGGGACCCAGAAGGTCAAAACAGCGGTGTCTGGTGCGTTTTTAGATCTGTCAAAGCCTGATGACTGAGATGAGACCGCGACGAATTGACTCTAAAATTTATGCAGAATTAACTAACAGCTTGCTGTTTCTACAAATATTCGAGTTAGCACTGAATATTTTTCCTCCCTTTATTAGCTCGAAGTGATGTTCATTTACTTAATTGGGCACAAACTAATAAACCCCGTCCTACTCTTGTGGACAGCAAACTGGGTAATTGATCCGAACTAGTTGCTAAAGAAGCTGGGATTGACGTCATCAGTAAGGTTTCTCATCATGTTTACCAAGGTCCTGGAAACGATCCTTGTGGACGCGTTGATGGCCAAGCTAAAATATTGCGGCCGCATCAAACTGGAGAAGTTTGGTTTTCGTCAACATCGAGCATGTAACCTGAATCTACTGATTGACTAAAGGGCGGGAACCGCTGTCGTCTACATAGAGTTTCCAAAAGTGTTCGATGGTTTAGATCATGGTACTCAGCTTCACTTGCATTAGAAATATGTTTTTGCAAATTCAGCATTGGGATAGAACTGCAACTTTCTTTGCAAACGGCCGCTTGAGGTAAGGGTCCGTACATTTTTGTCTGAATCATCTCAATTCATATGCGCCTAACCGCAGGTTTCGGTACTTGGGTCTCCTCTGTTTTCGTCTTCAGTCACGATCTTGTAGGAGTTAGCACTGAAACCATTTTATTATTCACGGACTACGTTAAGATTTGGAGGGGGTCAATGGATTTAACATTCGTACGATCCTCCAGCTCATCCATAATGAGGCATGGCAGTGATCTCTGTGGGGAATGCACTACTATTCATAGTAGTCTAGTTCCCAACTGTTCATTCCCGCCCAAAAGCGGCAGACCAGCTTCTAGAAACGCGACCTCTTTGTGCTAGTGCAGTACTACCTTGGTTGTTCCCAATAATCAGAGCGATCTTCAAAATGAGGTAACCAGTTTTTCGGTCTCTTGAGGAGGCTACTGTAGAGTTTGTGGCCACTCACCTTGTTTCTAATGCTCAAAGCATCTGTGTGTTTCGAAGCCGAAAACGCTCTCTACGCTTGGTAACCTTGTTTAAAGCTCGACTTCGCAACGCTCGAGATGCTACATTGTATGGGGACGAGAAGCGTCAACCATCTGATACTTCCCTAAGTAATTCGAAGTGTTCAGTAGACGCTACCGGCGGCTACATGCAGATATCGTAGTATATAATCAATAAGGAAAAATCCAGTTCATGTCTGTCGCCACCTTCTAATGCTCAACCCGAAAACCAATTCGAGACCTAATAGATTGAATAAGTCAACAATACAGTCTTCTAGATTTTCAACGAATTTACTGCTCACTCCATGTCCGCTATTTATGGAAAGCTTTTCTAAACTCAGTTGTTCGAGACCACAATTTAGGCATTAAAAAACGAGGTTTGGATATCGCACTCAGCTCCCTTACTTATATGATCGGATGCTTTGTAGTGTATTCCGGCCAACAAGCTTTTGGTACTTATAATTCACACTGCCGCAAGTAAATCAGTGCCAGCGGGTGAACCATCTGCTTGTTCTTCACAATGAGCACTAACCATAGTAACTTCGTAGTCTTAACTGCGTAGTCTCATTCCCACTAACTTGCTTCATCGATGCGCATTCTTTTTGTCCGATTGTGGTGTTTTCGAATTTGTCATTCTTTCTTTTGCTAAGCTAAGGGAAATGTTACACCCATATTTTTTAACTGTCATAAATCATAGCTCCATTTTCCCATAACTGTGCTCTGCCCCACGCAAGGACCTTATGATGACAACTGTGGGATTTTATTATGTCCATCTACTATTCGGTTTGGTTTGGATTTAATGAATTGCACATGCTGAGAAGTCTACTAATCCATATTGATGAAGATGATGAGAAAACCGATTTAATCCAGAAAGTGGCATTCGGCATATAGATTCGCAGCAAACGATCTGTAACTACGATGCGGATTCAATCAAACAAACTGAATTCTGAATAGGTAATGTCATTCGCATTAACAAGGCGGAGCTGTGACGTGAGGTTCTGGTGGGAAGAAAACCTATTCTGTTCGTCAACATTCTTGGGCTCTCATGCAGTACCGTAATCCAGTACCGCACCTCCGATTTGTTGGGCTAACTGGGTAAAAGCCAGTTCCTGTATGTGTGCAGGCACACGATTCAGAAGCTGTTTATTTGCTTCATCTTTCGCGTATCTCCGTTTATGTATTACCTAAGGCAGAGGTATGAGTGAGAAATGCTCCAACAATACGAGGTGAACTGCTCTCGCAATTTTCAACCTATGGTTTACCGAGCAAGTTGTTGCCTCTTGTTCGATGTGTAAAGCCGATGCTATTGGTTCCTCTCCAATATCGTGTTACGTGTCATCTGGAAGCGTTACTGTCTAATTAACCCCAAGTGTTTCAGAGTGTAGCTGTGAGTGCACCAAGGCATCGGTTTCACCCCAACCGATATTCTGGTGGTGGATGTTCTAGAATACTAGCGCAACGGGTAACTGGTGGTGCCTTCTCCAAACGATCCCACTGATTCCTCATCAAATGCCCCCAATGATTTATGTAATTCCTTTCAGATCAGTGGTTGAGCATCACAATCCTTTCATAATATAAATAGTTCTGAAACTAACAATGTGATCTGAGTACTTTTACACCCACTGCGTAAATGAGGCTACTGAATTCCGTCTCAACGATGATCAGGTCACCAAGGTTAACTTTTATTGATCAGGCATGGACCAATCACATCATCCGTGGCTTAGCCTGGTACACAACTTCGTACCTGCCATTAATGCCGCCATTTTCACTCCTTGGTTGCATCACCCATGGAACACGTGGTATTGAGGCGAGAGCAACAAAGCGTTAGTTCCTGATCCAACCGGACGGAAAGTAAGCGACCATACTAGAAACGGTCGATTGTTTACCTAGTCAATGCCTACTGATCAACGAGGCCCTCCGAGTGTTTTACACGTCTATGTGGTTCCCGTACAACTGTGGCAACAGGAACTGAACACCACATTCTCCAATTTGTTGGATGGTACTATATCTGCGGGAGTCGTTCGTCCAGGTGCAAATATGACGTTGGTTCAATTTCGGGAATATTTGGAAAAGGAGGTAACCTCCGACTTCTTGCCAGACGAATACGTATTTTGCAAAAATGTTGGTCATTCACTTGGAAGAGTAAGTGACGGTCATGCTTCCGCTGTGTATCGGAACATCGTTTTATAGATCCGTACAAATCAAGAGGAATTGTTTCAGATCCGTGACTTTCTTCCTCCGGCGGTAAGTTTTATCATGCTACAATTTGCACCACATGATGACATAGAGCTATCGGATGTCTATTCTTCGCATCACCGCCAACAACAACTGTCGGTCACGCAAATCTAACAGCGGATGCGACCAAAGAGGTTTAAGTGGAAAGGAGTGGAAGGAGTGATACTGCAATCTCCAGAGTGGTTTATTACCGTCTAGTATTTAGTTTGGGCACACAAGCAGTTATTCTCTTCCGGTTAATTGTGAAATGTTCGGGGAAATAAAAGAAATAAAGGTTTCCTTGCTGGCTTTCGTAGTTCACGCCGTGTGTGTGTATGATATGGGACACGCAATCCGAACTGGAGTCACGATTTACTTTGAAGTAAACCAATGTCATTTCGATCACTGGGACCACATCCGAAGTGGAGAGTTTCGGTTTTGCTCGCTCCAAACATCGAACCTCTCTACCGTTTTTTTCCTGAATCTGACTTCAGATGGAGATAATCGGAGCTTTTAGTCGGACCCAGGACATAAGGGCTGGTTACTGCACGCTCTGATCACTAACCCAGTGAGCTGTGCTCGACAGCGGTGTTATTTCATTGTTGGGCCTCTGCGTAAGGGCTTGTTTGACGCACCGCAGTTTTGAGCACTGAACAGCCTCACCCAAGCGACCCGTTGTCGGTAGGTGTTTAACAGTTGAGCACTGCACTTAAGGGGGTGTGAGCGATGTTGGGAAATTTCACACTGAAGCCGCTTTGGTATGTTATTTCATCCGATAAGTTACCGTCCGATCATTATTGTTCGTGTAGACAAGTACGAATTCGTACTCACAGTGTGGGTTATCCGTGAGCGACTTCGTTTCCTACACCTAGTCTACCTGTGACAGAGACTCCTGTTGACGATGAGAACTTGAGCAGCATGGTAGAATTTCTGGGCCGTATTGACCATACACGCAATTAATCAAGATTTGTAAAAGTGCCCTTAAACTCTAGCTTTCTAATGTCATTTTCGTAGCGAATCTGTGCACCAAATCCTTCGGCTTGTCTACCGGGAAGCGGATACGCTTAGCTGCTGTTTATCAACCAGACAATCAGCCGGATAGCTATATCAGCGATTCACGATTAAGGGAGGGCATCGTGTCTCCTGAAACACAAACTAGTTTTATGCATGAAAACAACGCAGGCGGCATTGGGGGTCATGGGGGAATTTAGGAAGTACTCAAAACACTGGCGACTCAAGCTGGCTACTTATTGTTTGATGGACCCATCGGACATCGAAAATGCCCTGCAGGGCTTGTTAATCGATAGTGGAGATATCATGGGTATGCAATTGTAGGGCATCTACCCGTGTGTCGCAGTCGCGATGACCTCCAAATTATAAGAAGAAGATGAACCGTATGAAAAAGGAGAATGTTGACAAGCTAGAGGTAAGAACCGCTACCATCCGGCACCTTCCAGGATGCATGGTGGGCAAATCGGCTGTGATCTTTAGCAAAAATTCCTGTTGCTTCATAAAATTTATTATACTGCTGATTCCCCGGTTTACTGATTGCTGTTAAACGTAATGTATAATATGAACCGGTTGATAAAACAATAGACGACATAATGAACTGTCTCCGCCGATCCCATATCACATTTGCGCAGCGAAATCGGTCATTTGGCATTTAATCGGGTTCACTCTGAAATGAGGTGATTACAAATCGTTCCAAGTAGACGAGAAGACAGGGTTCTTTCATTGGATACACACACATGCGTATAAATTATCAACTCAAAATGGTTTGTTTAACGGCTTTCAAATGCCTTCTCATCCCTCTGGTGTGTCGTGCCTCAGTGATGCGGCTTTGGGAATTTCTGACATTGCTGAGTACTCAGCGGCAGAAAATTAGGCTAGCCATGAAATGTAATGAGAACTATTGAGAAGGCAGTTCATCCTGGGTTTGTATTTTTATGTCTACGAACAAACCGCTTGAACATAGGTTCCATATAGTGCTTGACAAACGGTGGCCTCTGTCACAGATTGACGAATTTGCTTCCTGAGTGCACAGTTCAGATCTGAATAGTACACATTCCCTCATCGACCAGTATCCCTGAAGAACGGTTTAGACACGTGCGAAAGCACTTCCCTTGTGCAGACAAGAATGTTACGAGGTGAAGAGTTTGGAGCTGCTTTCTCCCGTCCATGTACTCCACTACCGCCGGCTTCGTCCTTTTTTGGACTCATCAGGTGGGGAAGCCTGAGCTGGGAGTAGAATTAGGCCCGTAGTGTTTGGCGCCTTACACTATAATTAAAAGGTCACTGATCGTCTCGAGCAGTGTTTAACAGAGCAGTTAGAAGTTGAGTTTTGAGTTTTGGATCACCCGCCGTGTGTGGATTGCGACGCGTACTCTCATTTGAGGCCACGGCTGACGTTGCAGTCAATCCCTGCCGTCCCGAGCACTTGCTGGGTCCATCATTATCTAAAAAGTCACAACAGGGACGAAACATGTCATGGAGTGCAGTAGTGATAGGAGAGAGCAATATCAAAGTCCTTCACTTCAGATACAACCGCAGTGATCAGAATGACAGAGACTGACTTCAAAATAAACCGTAGCCCCAGTTGAGATTGGGTGCCACAATCCAGACAGACAGTGAGTGCTCTAACACCAAGCAGTCAGTTAGCAGGAGGTTTTGCTCATGACTGATTTGCATCCAAACCATTTTCATAGCTATCATCATGAAAGAACACCACCGACGCATCATAATTGAAGGGCCACATGCATTTACCGCCTTGTCTGTGACCACTGGTTTTTCAACACAAGTGACTATGTAAATCAATCCATTTGGCATTTCTCGTCATTCCCTTTCTTTCTACCATTCTAATTTTTTTTATCATCCTGACTATCCGGATCTCAGTGACTGGATTCGATACTCTTAGGTGTCCACACGGTAGTTGCTACATTTAACTGCACTGAGCCAGCCGGTTGCCCGAAGCGCTTCCTCTCGATTGATGCGGACTATCTGTCCTTATCCAATCATCCACACCAGAAAACAAATTGATAGAAAAGATAGGTAGCTATTGGGCGGGAATTGGCCTTATCTTCAGTTCCGAGCACCTGATGCGCGTACACGGTGACAAGAGATTGCAAACCACTTGCACGTTTTCTCCGGCGACTGCCTTTGAGTGGCCTGTGTTCGGTGACACTGCATCTATATGATCGGCTGTTCTGGAGATACGGGTGGCAGCTTGATCCAAGACTTGGTGATCTAGAGGGGAAGAAATGAATGAAATGAAATTTGAAAGTAAACCCTCATTATAGGGTAGGAAAATTAGTTACCATCGTCGTGAATGTATCTACGAATCGTACACACTGGTATCATCATTCTGGTATCACTTGGACAGACATGGGAAATGGGAGCCCTCTTCCCAGTGATCACAAAACGTTGAGTGAACGGGTTCTGGTGGTGAGTAGATGTCACGAGACCGCACTGTGATGCAGATGAAGCTTCTTTCTCGTGCATTGCATATACAATACGAACCTGAGGTCTACGAAAGGAGGTAAGTACTTTCTAATCGATGATTCTGGTCAGTTCACCACATTGGTGACCCATTTGTCTAGGATCTAAAAAAGGGCCACGAGACCATAGGTGAACAATTGTTTTCGATGATGAAGAGAATCATCGAAAACAATTGTTCACCTATGGTTTCGTGCTCTTTTTTTAACTTCAAATGGGAATTTTCAAGTTGTCTTGGACTGTTGTGGCCTTTACTTAATGACACCTGTTCAAGCCACTTCGAGGTGGCGATATATCTCCCACTTGAAACATACGACAATCTGCTCTGGAAGACTGAATTGTCGTTTATATCGTTGAAAATTCCAAAATTCGGACGCACTGTGCTAACTCACCTAACTGAGAATCCATTACATTAACTGACTGCTGGATATCATACCGGAAAGGAAGTGGTATGTGGTTACCAGTGGAACTCTTACTGATGGGGATGTTATTGAGTGTCATTATTTTACGGACTGTTAAAGGCTGGATTCAACCACACAACAGTGCTATTGTACAAGGCTATGGGGTCAGGAAGTGGTAAAGCAGACTTTATTCCCCTTGGCCTACTTATCCTGAACCTCAGTCATGTTTTAACTAGCAGTCAAAGTTGTTTCACTATTCAAATTCGCAACGTTGGGATAGCCCCAATTCCTTGATGCGGTTGCAGGAGTATCAGTTCGCCGAATTACTATAGTGGACGGAGGATCTGAAATATACAATAAACGTTCAGTACTACGTGGCGCATACGACCGAAGTGGCTCTATTGGGTGTTAAAGAGGGTTCATATTGCATAGCAGGTGTGCACGCTGTATTCAAGAGAAAGTGAGCTCAAGTATTGAAGAATAGCGCGTCACTATGATTTGAACTGGCCATCCGAGGCAGATGGAAATTGGGTGTTGCTCACCCTAAGTCACTGCACACCACGATACGTTTCGAGCTCATCGGGTGGATAGCAGGCCTCGAACCCGGGACCACTGGAATGTTAGCCGAAACCTCTACCTTTTTGGTTGCTGAGTCAGGACAAGCGACGCTTCTCCCATCCATTTAAGTAACCTTTAGTGTAGACATAGACTCCAAGATCATATGTGCACCGACCTCGGTAGAAAAATCTGCCTAACGCAGAGTCCTGCCGGCACCAAGCAGCACGTGACTGCTAGTTCCCTGGAGCGAAATTCTTCGTAATAACGATTGTTTGGGTATTCGAAAGCAGCTGAGATGTTACGCAGAGCGACATATTATGAGGTCAGTCCGTTGGCTACCGTGGTTACGCCCACCGGTGACCTTGAGCTACAGTTCAACGATGGTCACTTGACCGCACTATGTATACTCGCCTGAGGCGAATCATGCGGAGAATAGACCTGAAAAAGGCAGTGTGCGTGAAATTGGCTCCGATCAAAGTAAACCCCAACTTGCTGCATTTTGATAACTGTAGACGCTGCACGGTGATGCATGATCGGTCTACGCAGAACGATATCAATAGTGCGATTTCAACTTCTGATGAACTTCTCTAGATAAGTCTTTTTCGACCTTTCACCTCATAAACGTCAAAAGATCCCCACTTCGGGTGCAGTTTCAGTAATCAGAATGGTCAAGTTTTCGGTGAAGCAATTACCTACTGGCCGTATACCGAAGTGCGGTGGATCCAGTGACCACTAATGGCATCCTCAATTTAGTAATGGTATAAATAGTAAATATGTTGACAGTGATGGTATATAATGATATTTCAAAGCGGAATGATAAGAAGTGGGATCCAATGTATAAAGCCCAGGTATAGGATGACGAATACAACAACGCTGTTGATTTCGCTACTGTACCATGTCCGATGGAGAATCTCGCCATTGACCTGACATGATGTTTACGCTCCATGCTAAACTACAACAAGCACCAAGTCTACTAGGACTCAGGGTGAATTCTTTCAAGCCTTTCGTCTTACCACTGACCAGCCACATTAAGGTGATATACAACTGGTGACATCACAGTAGAATAATGCACACACAAGTGGCTGGTTAGCATACATGAGAGGGGCATGATCAAACCACCGGTAGTGATTCTGTTTCGACATGCACTCCAGTGGGCCACTGGAGATCCTGCTTTCTGACAGCTAAGAAAGGACTTCAATGCTACTGTCTCGGTGCGTCCAACGGACCTTGGTATACATGGTCAAATTCGAATAATCTCGTAATATCCTCAGTGCGTAGTGACCATCTTTAAGCTACACAGTATTGTGAATCCTACCATCAACCTGTAAACTCATATTCCACCGTCCCCACAAATGACCAATGTGCAGTAAACCACAGAATTCTTCCAAACCGAAATATGCCGCAAGGTAACTTAGCGTTCAGATAGAGAATATGGAATGCACTCCCAGGTTCTAACATTGAAAAGTGAGTAGAGCTGTATCACATCTAGTAACTTAGTCACGTCGGCCGTTACCTTCAACTTAGCCCACCATGGACGGGTAATAGTCGAGTCGCGAGTCCTGGTCCTACACGGAACAGATAAAATGTGCACTGCTGATGATTCCAGATGGGATGAAATTGCCGTACAGTGCTTTTCCGCACGTTTGATGGCTGACTGGCTGAGTACAAATGTGACGAACTTCTACTTAATGAATTATATGTTCGAAAATACTGAGGAAATTAGTTGTCCACTTCCCACGATAACCTTCTCGGTGTCGCTTTATTAAAAGTTGATATCTGAGGGCCTCAGCAGTAAGCATGAATGTACAAGTGTTGTAAATCTGCAAGAACCACGTAGCAGTCACCAACACTTGCATGCAAGGGGAAATCTTTTGTGCTCGACTTTGACCTGCTTGGACTATTGAGAGCTGTCGAAAGTGCATGGGGCAAAGCGCCGACATTATTGATGTAAGCTTATCGGTAGGTGTTCTTCCGTGGAAACAAGGATGACACTGGCACCACAAGGTCCACAACATTCGTGTCGATTTTTAAAGTATCACAAGGGGACCGTTTCAATTGAAGTGGGTTCACGTGTCCGGTTGTTCAACGACGGCACTGGAGAACAGCACTGATGATCACACCAAGATGCGTCAATTGGGATCACGCCAGGTTCCGATACCATGTCGTTGCCTTGGCACTCTCACTACGAAATTGCACCACCAACGAAAATCACAGGTTGATGGGATAAATAATGAACTTAATGCGATCGGTCACAAATCTTGACCATTTCACTTCGTAGGTCCTTCGCAGATCCTCGTATGGTTTTTCAGTGCCTTCGATGTGACTTATTCGTGTATACCGATGATGAGTGGAATCTTCCGCATTTTATTTCATCGACTGAGTTTCGAGCATCGAAATGCAGTAGATTCAGCTGTCATGGTTCTCTACACCAAGGCTAAGGATTAAAACTGACGGAGATGGGAGAAGCGGTACCGGGAAAAACACACACAAACCAACACATTATAGTCTAAAAGAGACTGTCAGAAATACCTTACTTAGTTGAACGAAAATGAGAGCCAAAGCAGAAAGACGTGGGCTAACTAACAACAGGATGCACCCAGTCCATGCGGTAAGGTAAAAACGACCTAGCCGTACATGTGTTTTAGGTCACTGCCTTGCAACTCTGTTGCATCCTGGTGTACAAGCCTCCACGAGCTGCTCGTATTTTGTTTGACTTTTCTGCTTAATAATTTTTTTTGTATACTACGGTGCTACAAGTCCCCCGTTAATTAGTGAACTTTCCGACGTGTAGTGTTAATGACATTCTTTTTCCGTAGCGGAATGCCTCTCTGACGTCCTCGTTGTCCACAGAGTTACAACAGATAAGCCGCGCTGTGTTGCTTACAGTTACATCAACACGCACCAGATTCAACACCGACTTTGAGGGCTGCGGCTGAGAGGTTTGTATCTAGGATCCAGGATCGTTGGGTGACTGGCCAGTTTTACGTAAACGCACGTTTAACCTATTCTCTAGGTTTCTTTGGTTCTCTACAGCTAAAGGCATCCGTTTCTGGAGTTAACCCTCCCTAATGTTGACTTGACCATCAGTGACTTGCTCACAGAGAGACTACAAGCACTTTGCGCCGCGCAACTTCCGCCCCAAATCCGGAGTATATTCGTTGGAACAAGATTACGGGCGTGCGAACTGAAAGTATGATCATTCCGCAGCGAGTACCCATTCGCTTAACACGCAGAGCATGCATTGGTAGGTAAAACCTCATGACACCACCTCGTGATCATGGCACCGTTCAGGGAGTGTGGCAATTAAGAGCACCATGCGGACTGATTTGATTTGATATACAAGCATTTGGCCAGTTCATGGCCCAGGTCTACTATTCCCACAATTATGCAAACATTATGTGAAACCAACTATATCACATCTAGTGACTTGTTCACGACGGTCGTTGCTGTCCCCGTAGCTCAGTGATCTTAACCACAGATTGGCAACAGTCGAGTTGCAGGTTCGAGCCCTACAAGCGCACTGCTGACGATTCCCGAAATGACGAAACACGCGTACAGTGCTTTTCTGGGCGTGGGATGGCTGTCTATGTGAGTCGAGATGTGACGAATTTCTACCTATACCATTCAACTCACCCTACTACTCTTCTATAAAACATATTTGTCGGCCGAATGTATGGCGAAATTCTTGCTAAAGCTCCTGTTCAGAAATGTATCTTACGTTCGAATCTAGCATTGTCACAAAATTGGGGGCATCCACTTCGCTACCGTTGATTTTTACCCCCTTATGGAAGGTATTTAATGTGACGATATTGGATTTGTAAGCATCTGGTCCTCATCCTCATTGCGCACAAATGCCCATTATGTATTACACATTACAAACTACACATGCACGGCAACCAGTGGCTAACAGTCCATTGGAAATGTCTCGTATGTGATACATAAACACAGCTTGTGAGATGTGAACAACAGTGGCGTTATCCATACAACAAGGCTTCTCACTTTCATGCGTTCTCGCTTATGCCACATGAGCTAGCAAACAGTGGACGTACGAACCACCGGATGCAAAATTGCTTGAGGATAGGTATGTCGAGTTATCTTCCATCACTGGTAGGCTATCGGCTTTCTCATCCGGGAGGCACACGCTCATAGGAGTTTGCACCAGTTTGACAGTACTGTACTAGTCCACAGAGAGACATTCGAAACAGTCTCATTTAAATAAGACCGAAGCTGACACATCTGCTATTTATGAGATTAGACGTTAGCTTAATTTGCTAAAGGGGTTCTTTCCATTTTATCTTTGTTATTCCCACTAGTCAAAATGATTACCCTGCAACGCGACAATCACAAGTGATTGGACCCAGACTGCTTTCAACTCCACTTCACTTCACACTAAGCCGAGTCGTAACATACCAGGTCTGCCTTTTTGTTACCGAGCACCGCAAGAATCGATTACTGCGCTTGGTTTAGCATCCAACTGAAGTCGGTCAAATAAGAATATCAGAAGACTAATGTTGTAAGATGACAATGTCATTTTGTGCATTCTCCTCTGCCACGTGTGTGCAAATACCAGAGAGACAAAATTAAGATCATATTAACTTGAGTGCTGCTCAGCTGTTTTGCGATTGGTGCGTTAGTCGCCATCACGGCAGTCTTACAGTCACTGTCACCAGTTTTTGAACACAGACACTAAGCCAACAGTGGTAGCAAGTAACGCACCAATCGTAAAACAGTCAACCAACAATCGATTTGATGTGATCTTATTTTGGTTTCTTTGTTATTTGCATGTACGTGACCGATGAGAATGCACAAAATAACACAGTCATCCCACAACATTCGTCTTCTGCTATTATTTAGAAGTATAAAGAGAACTTCATGTTTCGAATTTCTTAAGTGAAGTCGGTCAGTAAGGTCTGCATCAGCATTCTTTTGGTAAAACCATTGCTGCTGTCAGGATGTCTAATCCGTTTCCTTCAATGGGAAACTACACATAATGGTAACTGACATGATGCAGCGATCGCCGGTCGCTATCACACTATACTACATGTTCCTGGTAGGCTGTTTCTTATTTACACCTGACGGCGGAAGAGCATACCGGGAGGTCTCCATATCTAACTGTTTGCTGAGCTCAGAACTCTTGTAAAATGGCACAAAACCATTTAAAAACCTATAACGATCTCACGGTATTCCTTTCTTATTTCTAAGTCTGAAAAACCAGAGCTATATGTCATCGACAAGAATGTGGTCAAGGGCCCAGGCGATCGATCAGATCAACTCAGGCGATCATCTATACCGAGAATCAGAACGGTTGAAATTGAGCCTATAGAACCAAGTGCAGGTAAGCTAATCAAACATCAGTTTGACTATGTTCGGTAATTTGCAGTCATGATGTTATCTTAGTTTTACGTGCTGAATGATACGAACTGCGAACTTAAGAATAATTGAGGAAGTAAGAAAGCTACAAAAGATTCCAACTCCTTGGGTATTCCATGCTTTGTCTGACATCTTCCTCTAATGAGTGCGCGTGATCAGTCACACTATTTAACTTTCACAGGTATAACCATCAGGGACATATTTTGCTTGTTATATATTCAGTTTCTGCCTATTGGCACAGCATCGTCGTTGATTTTCTTGACTCATTTTAACTCAGCAGTCTTTCTCCAGCAGAAAAAGTCGTTGCGTTCCTCCAATAAAGCTTTAGGTTGACGAAGGATTCTCATTAAAAAATGTATCCCGCAGTGCTCGGTGATTAATTGGCTTGTTTGACCTCAACCGATGGCAAAGAGCATACATTAGCAGTGATGGATACCGAATAAGTGAGTTAGAGACTATTGAGGCCGTTTCAATTCACGGCAACCTAGCTTAAATGGCCTCAATGTGAAAGCGTACTAGTCCTGAATATCCCCGACCAAGTTCACCAAGCGGATAGTTAGCTCCGGTACCGATTGTTTCAACAAACGACTACCCATCCATCATAAATGACAGTGAAGCGATCGAATTCGCAAAACTTATCTGAGCTGTCCGTCTTTTGGCTTTAAGGCCTATCCAGATGACCCATAAATAAATTGGATTGATTTTACAAGTTGCATCTAACCAAATAATTATAAAGTGCTCCACCGCTTATTGTGCAGTGAGCCAGTTTAAGGGAGAACCTGAGTCTTACATAGTGGTCTCATGCCGACCTCAGTGCGACTCAGAATAGATAGATGAAGCTTCAAACATGTCGCAAGGTTGCCAGCCGCTCTAACTGTAGGTTCCGATAGGTCTTTAACCATTGTTAAGTCGAATCTGTTGTGAGTTGTTTCGACCCTGGTTCATGAAAATAATGGTATCATCAGGATCTAGGTAATTGTTTCGCGGCGGTTGCCCCCAAAATTGAAGTTGTCAGATTTGCGTGGGTCTTTCGTTAGTCTGTGGTTACGTAACATCACAATGACTGTGGGAACTCGTTGCAAATATTCACTATAATTTTAATATTAACTTAAAGAACTACAGTTCGATGCGCCTCTCGGATCGGGTGAAACTGTGTCACCTAACCGAGATTTGAAGCTCACCAACCACACGATTTTGCAATTTTGCTATGAGATCAAAAAGTTGGTCGAACCCGGCTGCTTCAGAGGAATAAGTGCGAGTAACCGTAGAGTGCGCGACGGCGCCAACTGGCGTTCATCTACATGTTTCGTCAAACGGCACCATCAAATAAGATACGTGCGAACAATCAGCTGCGAGAAGTCAGCTTGCTAACTTTGTTCCAGCGAATAAGTTCGAGTGCTTTCTTCTACCCTCCTATATGGAAGTGTCAGTTCCGTACAATCAGTAGCTCGTTGCAGCGCTGACTACGATTTAGATACAAAATTTCGGAAAGCAGCGCACTTCTTGTTATGCGCGTATGCGTACACTACGCCCTCATTTCCAGACTGTATGCATCGGCATCTGCCGGGTTGTTTCTATCAGAAAGAAGCGGTTGAACTTCTTTTGTTCCCCTGATTCTTCTATGCTTGAAGCAACGGAGGCAATCGGGATGTCTTGGGTGCATACTTGTGTAGTATATGACTGCGCCAACCATGCGAATATGACCAGGATAAATGCGAAAATACGAATTATTTTCACTGTCCTATGGATATGAAAATGAACTCCTCTAGAAGGCATGGGTGGTTGCGTGGCTTGTTGGAATCAAGTACCAGCTCTTTTATGTTGTCAATCGCAGTGACTCTTGTGTCTTGACACTTATTGAAATACCTTCTTAATCCAATGTTAATTTGGACACGTAGGTAATCATAAAGAAGAAAGAGCTCAAACGCCATCGGCACCTGAGCCCCAAACGACAGGATTACAATCGTCTCCGGAGCAGCCTGATCATACGCAAAAGGACCTGCAACCCACATTGTCGGAGATACCAGAAGAGGCTCCAAGTCAACACAGTCAGCCCTAGTAAGCCCTAAGCATGGAGAATACGTGTTCCCAATGATGTGACTTGTCCTGTTTCATCGTAGTATACTGAGATGAAGCAATGACACAAAGTGTTTATATTTTATTTGTGTTATTATATGCATACGAACACATTACTATAGGATGTTAGATCACCCCTCCGACCTAGTGGTCATGGTATGAGCGTCAACTTGGTAGGCGGGTGACTCGGTTGCTCACGGATGATAATGCGTCAACCACTTACAACTGGGCGTCTCGAACAGTCCTCACTTTCGAAATTTTCCGAAGTGGCTTATCGAATTTCTAGTGTTTCAAAATGATATCCGCTTAGATGACATCCAATCTGCCGAGAAGAGAATACGGTAGTAAATAAGAGCCAGCACTCCACCGGTAAGGGCATTTAGTGCATGTATCCCGGTAACACGAGAATATACTTCTTTAACACGTGCGGACAGCGTCGTGGTTATCCTTCACTATGAAAATGCTATCCAAGAAAACTCAATATAATAAACTGACAAGACAATAATAGAGAACATAGAAAACTCAGGTGCCATCAGTCGGACGGCCATCGCGAACCTAGAAAAGCATCAGGCTGCCGTTACACCTCCTTGTAACTCGTCCACAGTACACATTTTGTTCGACCTATGTCGAATGAGTATTCATCTAATGTCTCATCTGTTAATCGATCTCCGACATTGCTCTATCCAGTTTCACGAATCACACCAGTACACTACTACCAGTTTGTGAATGTGATGACTCAAATTAATCACCACGAATAGAGGAAATTAGGAAGAACCTAACTAGTAGAGCTCAGGCGTTAAACACTGCGTTCTACGAACAGCTTCATGCTTGTGTTTACTGTTTATTCAGAGACAATCGAACACGGATAGCAAAGACCACTAACATGGCTCGTCGCAATAATCCGGAATCCATCTTTTGGTATTGGCATATGTGTCCATTGACAGAATAGACAAGATTTATCCTAGAATGTATCGCGATCCGATTTGTCAGCGCAAACTACAGTCTGTTTGCACCATGACTATTATAAGACTAAATGACCATCCGTCAATGGAAAAATGAGGTAAAAGACTTGCAAATGGATGCAACAAATTAGCTGCAGGGGTGTAACTGATTTGGTCCTTCAACATTTCACTAGGGACTGATAGCCAATAATGTTTTCGATCCCGGATCTCCTGTCCCAGAACAACACACGTTTTAGTCCCACCAAAATTGCGCTTAGATGCTTCATAACTTCGTGAAGTGTCACCAGTTGACTAATTCGAAAATAAACGTCACTTGATACAGTACCTGCAAACGGTAGAGCCTCGGGTTATTGGGACCACATGCCTGCACAGTACGCATCTTAGTCAATGGTGACCTCGGGTATCAAGTAACCGATCTACTGAAGCACTAACTGGTCTGACGTTATACGGCGTACGTCGGCAGTGCTGACTTATGGGCTGCCAGCTGATATCAACATGTTCGTACAATGACCTAGCAGGTGAATTTGTCATCTTACGTGATGCGGCAGGCAGTGGGCATTTACATTAGGAGCTCTGTCACTTTATCCTGAATTTCGTAGAAAAGCGGTACGTACTGATGCATATAAAGCACTGCGTAAGTGTTAACATATCCGTTTGTACCTGGGCTGATCTGGATCACACGAGGACTATATCCTCCAGGTACAGCAGACTTGTTGGCTATTTCGTAGTACTTTAAGTATACGGAGTTATGGTGCCGCAAATCTGAAAAGGGTGAGGACGATGCTGCGGCTCTACGAGTTCCAGTGACAGGCTCCTATAGATCGTTGTGTGAATTTGGTGCTCATTGTATAGTGATTCTGGAAGAGATAATTCCTCTGGAATGCCTTTTACGATCCGGTGCCAAATAGTTATGTTCATTTAAACCGAACGACATCTTTAAGTCAAACAGGACCACTAAGGTGGTCATTGTGTATATGCGTTATCCCAATGTCTGGCACAAGTAAACGACCATTGCACTCTATCCTGTGGCTGAGGCCAAAGTGACTTTTACTGCTGTTAAATTCTCGAAGACCAGTTAGCCTCCGCAAAATGATGCAAGTGGGATTGGAGGCCAGGTATATACGGTTTACAACTCAAGATTTCCTACTTTACGTCTGTTAGTTCGTTGTGACGTTGACAGCAATAACAGGCACTGGCTACCTGGGGAGCACTTTATAGCTTTTAGTAATATTCACAAAAACAGATTAAATCCCCCTACAACTCACGAATACTCAGTATTTGCCTTAGCAGATTCCATGCAATCTCGATTGGTGGCGGTCCGCAAAGGAAGTCATGGCCCTGGGGGCCGGCATTGTCCTTTGCACGTTCACAACATGCGTGACGGTGTGGATGAGCTGCACTGTATCTTGGTTGGAAATCAGTCATGACGGTTCGCTGCCATTACTCTTGGCCCAGTAGCAAAAGTCGCCGATTCTTAAGCGTAAGGTCATGCATTCGGATCCGGCAGAATCCGATCGGTGCGTTCAAATGGCGAGTCTCCCTAGAACGAAACAGTCGTTTAGCGCTTTGCTGAATTGGTGGTAGTTGTTTGGTTGCGTCCATCTTTAGTGATTCTCCTCAGAAATTAATCAATATATATATATATATATATATATATATATATGAAAAACTAACTCGGATGTATGCAGGGTGTCCCAAAAATAGGTACTCATTCTTTGACCTTTCACTACCCATGCATTTTGTTTGTAATTAACTGTGTCTTGACAAACATAATTGATTTTAAGAAGATTATTTAATAAATAAAGGAATTGATGTAGAACCCATTATTTATGGTCATGTAGATGCATGTGCTCTCTCATTCCGTCATGTTCGCAAAAGTTCAAACTGCCTTCCTTCATTTTCCAAACACAGTAGATAAAGTCCAACGATAGATTCAACAACATTGTCAAACACTTCATTTGGAATTGTAAGACATTGTATTCGAATCGTATTTTTCAAACTCCTTACTGTCATTGGTTTTGTGGCATAAACCTTATCTGAGATATCCCCATAAAAAGAAATCCATCGGCGTAAGGTATAGTGCACGCGCAGGAAATTCAACACTATCATCTCTGCTAATCCATTTGTTTGATGTGTTGCATCGAGGTAAGCAAGTACATCACGATGATAGTAGGGAGAAGCTCCATCTTGTTGGAAGTAAATCTCCTCGCGCCCAAACATCTCTTCCATCCCTGGACCGACATTTTCCATCAGTAAGTTTAAGTAAATTGGATCACTGAGAGTTTGATCAAGAAAGTATGGTCCAAGTACCCTCAATACTGACATTCTACATCACACTGTAGCATCTGGTAGATTCCACTGGTATTCCACACCTAAATGTGGAATTTCACGGGCATAATATGTGAAATTATGTCGGTTGACTGAACCAATTAACTTGAAAGTGGCCTAATTGCTGTAAAGATTTTTCTCTGGAAACATTGCATCCTCTGCGAATTAGTTCAGATACCATAAGAAAAATTAAACTCACGATCAGAATCACCTTCCTTGAGAGTTTGAAGCGACATTTCTAGTGATCTTCTTTCAATATTCGATGAACACTCGATTTTGGTATAACTATTTTACGACTCAATTGTCATTCGGTTTTCTTTGGGGATCGGGAAAGGGCTACTTCGAATTGTTTGTATTTATTGGGGCTGGTAGATGTTCTTGGCCTTCCGGAGCGTTGCTTACTGACATTGTGCATAATTCCGTACGCTTCAAATTTATCTCTGATTCCAGCAGTGGTACGCCGAGTTGGTGGAGTCTTCTGAAACTGTCTGTAGAATTGTCTTTGCACTTCCATGACATTCTCGTGCACGTTAACATAAGCTTTTAATATAATCTTTTCTCCTTCAAACGTTAGTTGTGCGTGTGTCATTATGAAGGGTTAGCTGCATCTGAATTTGAAAGATACATTATTAATCACTTACTAAAAATTACATTATTAATAGCCCGTCCAAGAGAGAGTACCTCCTTTTTGTAACACCCCGTATATATATAAATATATAAATATATATATATATATAGGCGGTAGAGCCCATGGTGCCCTGAGGCTGGTGATGACTTTGTCCTGACAGATGGTCTACCCACTGCTGCTAAGGTCGTGCCGTGTGCTTATGTTTTGGACGCCTCCTCGTGTCGACTGCTGGGTGGGAGATGGGTTACGCCCTTCTCCCTGCTAAGATCCAAGACACCAATCCGCATAAGTCAGTGAACTGACCATGTGCTAGACCCGCTGCCCTTCGGGTGTTCATTTAATCGAAATTTTTGGCTGAGGATCCGAGTCGTTCTCCTGTCGGGTGTGGGCGCACTGCCAGTATCCTAGTCCATCCTCTTGGGAGGATAAGAGGTGATCGATGGCCCTTCCCGTAAAATCTAGCCATAGGAGACAACAGGTCTACGGGTTATAAACTCACAGCACGATTGGCGTAGAGCACGAGCACCGCGCATTGTCTCTGACGGTGGGATGGCACCTCCGGGTGTTCAATGGTTTGCTACTGCCTGCCTCAAGCCAGGCAGCTCCTGGTCAAATTGGTGCAAACCCGCCAAAACCCACCTGCGTCTAGCCATGGTCGCAGGTGCGTATCCTACTACGGTCGTAGAACATATACAAATCGTTCCAGTACCTCCAAAGCTGCCTATGATGGATCTCAAGCGGATCCCAATCTGTCTCTGCAATCACATTCCCGAGCTGGATCTGCTCCCCACTGCCTTGTGGGTCAGGCTACTCAGCCAAAGGCTCTGTGTAGAGTCCCTCAAGCAAACCTCCGAAGCACATCCGCCACCTTGAGCGCGATTGCTCACCAATGCAATCGTATGCTTGCGTGCAAAGCGCTCAGCATCGGGTGCTGGAACGTGTGCACACTACTGGACCGCAACTCCAGCGAGCACCCGGAGCGACACACTGCACTCGTCGCGATGCAACTGGCGAGCTGCAACATCGATATTACGGCGCTCAGTGAGACTCGGCTCGCTGAGCAA